GACATTTTTAAAAGATAAAATATCATAACAAAATCCCTCTATCATATTTCATAATTACAGTTGTAAATCTTTCTAAATGACAGTAGGCAAGCTAATGTCCAAGTGTTCTTTTGCTGAGATACTATCCCTGACATGCTTGCTGGGATAATTTTTACATTCATACACAAAAGCCCATATCATACGGCAGAATATACTGAGAATTTGTTCCTTTACATTCTAATACACTTGCTAAAATACACAATTTTAGATTTCTAACTCAAATATCTAAAAGTAATTATCAGGTAAAATATAAAATTCCATAACCTGAGATTAGAAATCCACTGGTTTATCTGTTATAAGTATTACATATTTCTCTTGTTATTTGGTAAAATGAAAAACAAACATCTATCAGGCTATATACTAAAACCAAACATATTTTGTATATCCTGATTAATTTCTGTGTTTTGCTAGCTTAATTTTTCCAACTCTGCTTTCTCCCGTGAAGTATATGATATTTAAGACATTACCGTTATTTCATTACATCACAGAAATTTTCAAGAAGTATTTCTTGTCAATAATTTCAGGAATTCACATCTTAGGTTTTGTCCTTGATCTGTAGAAGTCAAAGCTTCTCTTACTGAAAAAATTGTACATACCTCACCCGCGTGTATGTGATCAGAGAGCACATGAGAAGACGCTCTTACTAACACAATTAACACACAATCATAAGTAATATGGATGTTTAGTGAATCTAGAAATAGAGCAAGTGGCTACCATTTCCACCTTTCCACACAGGTTTCCCATTATCTCAGTTCTTCAGAGAGGTGTTGAAGCATCCAAAGTGCATGCCTAAAATATAAAGACACTTAAACGTGATCTCAATATTTACTGTACTAAGGTAGTTGAATATTCCTCCTGCTGGAAAAATTTCTTCATAGGAAAACAAAAATTCTTTGTTTGCATAACTATGTAAAAAATTGACCTAATTGGTAGAAATCAACATGGCCAACCCCATTATTTTGTAGCACAAATAAACAAGAAATTTAGCAATATTAAACTTAGTTACTTCAATTTTTCTCTTGCTTGTCAATTATGATGAGGGAACTGTAAAGTACTTAGCTTTGACTGAGGATTTATGATAACATTCTTGTGCCTGGTGACTAAGTTCTGCACCTAACAGGGAAAATGCTAGAATCTAACATCCTGGCTAAGCCAGTGACAGAGCTTTCTCACAGATAGTAGAAGAACTCTTCAGTTTTGCAGTCATTCAAACAGCATACTCCTATGGCCACTGCTTTCCTATTGAAAAGCATCTCGCTATGTCTCCCCCAGGAAATCAAGACTTTCCCCAAATTTCTATATCAATGACGGGTATAACAAGGAAACATTACATGTGGAAGATCTCACCTGAACACATGCTCCAGCCTGGGAAGAAAATTGAGTTATCAGAAATCTCCTGAGTTATTTTATCAGGAAAATAATTCTTCGATTTATGGGTGGAGTTACAGCTTATGACTTTTTGAATCATCACTATTTTAGATGAAAGAAAGTATAAGGTCATTACCGGTGAGTTAATTAGAATATTTGGAACAGATTCAAAGGAAGTTATGTCTCTGAACAGTTTTACTCCTTAGAATAATCCATAGAGGAAAAAAGACTTGGGTCTTGCCAAGAAAAAGTAGCTGAATGCCAAGTAATGTGAAAAGATGGTGACGGGAATAGAAAAAGTTCACAGTGAATTGAATAATAAATTGTTTCACATTATGAAATATTTGGGTAAAACAGTAATACTTAAACCAAAAGAAGGGTTGAAAAAGCCCCCAGTCCCTCTACCCTACCATGTCCCCAGCAAAGGGACTGTTTTACTGTTCCTTAATTTCTGTCTGTTCCTCAATTTCTCCACAACCTCAAATAGTGTTTTTGGATAAAATTAATTCTTTTCCTTTAAGGCACTTATAGCCCTAAGGGCAAAAACCAGAGATAACTAGAACTGACCTATAGTAAAATTAATAACAACAGAACTTAGAAAATATTTTGAGCTTAATGATAATAAAAATATAATATATCAATGTTGGTAAAGTCCATGGCAGGAGATGGGGACCTGAAGGAAAACACTATCAAGCTATTGAAACCAATTTGACCCCCTATATTGAACCCCATAATCTATACACTGAGAAATGCAGGGGTGAAGAATTTGATACCCCAAATTTCATCCCATTGAACCAACACACAAATTTTCCAGGATCAATGGGCATACGTAGCTACAAAGTACATCACATGAATGTTTAATGCCCCTTACAATCCACATGGTAATAGTTTAATCAAAAGCTGAAATTGGGTTTATATGTGTAAAAAATGATTAAAAGGAAAAATCATG